CATAAGCTGACATGACAAATTTAATCGTAAGAGCTTATAACTAGGGAGACAACTATTGTGAAGTGAAGTGATGTGATATTATTGTTGTTTGCCACTATTCATGCTATGTATACCATAAAAAGGCGTGATTTATAATAGTCGTGACAATGATACGGTTAATGTAACATAGAAGAGCTGATTTGACAATTAGTGGACACGTTTAGAAACGGTTTCTTCCAGTCCTGGCTGGCTTATCATTAAGTTAACAGTTTTTTACACTTCCTGTACATGAAAGGGAACAGGAGCTGAATTACTATTTCTTTCGGATTAGAGGCGTAGTGAAATGGTTTCGCAAAGGTTTTGGCCAAACTGGAACCCAGCCCCTACCTGGGGGTGGGGGTACTCCCATGTATAAAGCTCGGGAATGTTCGTCGTTTCGCTCAGGGGTGTAAATTACTGATTTTGGTCTCAGGGTGTTCAGGACGAAAGGCCATTATTTTTAGCTGCCAAGGTATATTTTAGAGTTATCCTCGAAGAAACATTAAAAAAAGCTGTCATGTCCGGTTTTTTAAAGTGATATCTTTTAGGGGTCAAATAAAGCTCGAGTCACGCCCGGATTGGTCTTTTTTAGAGGTCTTTAGTTAAATACACCATTTTGTATTCTCGGTATTGGACTGGAACTAGCGTGTACCAAAGGCTAAAACGTATGCAAATACAAATGACATTCACCTCTATTTAATGACCTGATGACATCCCCCCGCGCGCATGAGCCTCCATTGCAAGCTAGTTCCAGTCCAAAAGCCAATATAGGAAAATAGTCTATTTTCCAACGAGCATCACTGACCTTTTCTAATGGGAGTTCCCTTCCCCCCCCTCCACACCTCCCCTCCCGGGATCTAGCTCTTTCGATCCGGATTTAAACCCACTAATTGTCAGGTCATCTTATTGCGCTTCTCAATAGAGATTTTATTACTATGCTGGTAACAGTAGAGTATTATTCGATCGGCTATCATAGAATTGCAATCAAGGAAATTTTCGTGACAAAATATGTTTTCAAAGTGTTAAACCCAAGAAGCGCATAAATACAATCGAAATTATATACGCAAAAATTATACTAGAAAGTTAGACGGGAAATTATACAGCTTCCTTGATATAGTATCGCTTGTATTTACCGGCATTTTTTTAAAAAGAAATAAATCTGGTGTAACTGCTTTGTGAAAGCGCTAGTGTTTCTTTGGCGTATTTTAACACTTTAAATGTAGATATTTATTTACACTCTAAATTTTAAAATTCAACATTTCTCTGCCACGATGAACAGGAAGTCCCAAACCATTCACTGATACAGTCGCGTGCTTAGGGTTTCTTTTCACATGATTCCTACGATACAGCTCAATTGCTACGATCGCAAGGAAAAACGTTCAGTGATCGTAGCTAGCGATCGCTGCGACAACGACTTTAAAGGAGCTCAGTCACGGTATTTTGAGTTATTTTGGCCACGTATAAAATTATCTTTAAACTGAAGGAAACCTGAAAATAGTAGTTTACTGAGATAGAAAAACACCAAAGAGGTAATAATAAACTATAAAGGAACAAGGACGGTAAAGGATGAAGAAGATTAACACGGATTACAAACGACGAGCTTGAAAAATTTGGGCTTAACTTTTCAAGACGCGCAAATCGTACAGGCTCGGCGAATCAAGACTCGTAAAAACGATCGAAAATAAGCTCCGAGAAGTTTCCGAAAGTTTCCGGGTTCCAAACAATAGCCCATTTCAGGCTAAATAACATCATAATATAATCCAACGTGGACCAGGTCGATTTTGTTGTTTTTGCCTGAAATTGCCTCGCGTCCACGTTGAATTTTATTATAATGCAAATAAGAAAACATTAACCTTTAAAGGGGTATATATTACAAAATTACAAATAATGATACATGGCTGCTTTAAGATCCACCGCATTTACATGTGGGATATTCTGATCTCGGCTTTGATTTTTTTGTGAGCACCCTTTTAGCAGCCCTTGTCTCGACCTCTGTATTTTTAATTTACAATTCTAAAACACTTCACACCATCCTGGCCGGATCGAGTGATATGCGAATATTGATAGCCAGATCGAACAGCAAAAAAGGCAATACTGTGGAACCGACAGGCAGATCACAACCTAACCTTAACAATATTTCTAATCCTACTCTGGCCGAGTCACTCGGATTTATATAAAACAACAACAAAAACAACAAATCTTGGGTAGGTAATATGGCGTTGATAGAATTCTTACAAGGTGTATCGGAAGCGATGGTGCATCACTGGCTGACAATATTGATTCCTTCCACCTTCTTGCTTGTTCTGTATTCCTTGGCTTCCTACCGATCAATGAAAACTTGGTACGGAGATAGTATCCGCGGACCAAAACCTTTGCCGGTTTTAGGTCATTTACTGGACACGATAAAGCACAAAGGACAACTACACCTTCAGGTGCACGAATACTTTCTAAAATACGGCAAGGTATTCGCCATGTCGTCTTTCCTCGGAAAGATTCCAAACTTGGTGATTGCAGACCCGGAGATGCTGAAGGATATCTTCGTGAAAGAATTCGACTCTTTTAGAGATCGACCTGTAAGTTACATATTTGTTAAATTTGATCAGCAATCATGTTAGATATGATACATTTGCTAAGATAAATACCGTTTTTAAAACCAATTCCTGATAATACGTGTTCGTGAATATTTAATGATGTTATATTCATTTCGAGTACTCAGCTGTGTAAATTTTGTCACGTTATTCCCAAGGAATTAGAAATAATAATGGTTGTCATAGCGCGATCAACTATACCAGCTAGATAATTAATTAACGTAATTAACCTGTTGAAACAATTGTAACTTCAGTTTATAATTTTGAACTTAAATTTCTTATTAGATAAGCAAATTAATAGTTTTTAATAACTATAGTTTTTACTACCTTAGAATTTCGAACGTAACAGCTCCCGTTGTGTTCGGAGTTAGTGACCCAAAGGGGAATCTAACCAACGGGTATACCGTTTTTATTTATTTATTTATTTATTTATTTATTTATTTATTTATTTCGAGTAGCCGTTACTTAAAAATGTTACTAAGGACCTGTAAGGGAATGTGTGAAACATCAAGATAGAAAACATGAGAGATCAGTACGTAACTTGGCTGAAAACTGCTTCAGTTTCGAACTAGTACCGCAATGATATCTAGCGTCTCTGTAGAAAAAAGAAACGTTTGTAATGGAATAGCCGTGCTTCTGGGCCAATTTACAATAAGGGAACTCGTAATATGAACAATTATTCATCTGAGAAGACGAATAATGCATCTTAGACATACAAACGCAAGATACTGAGGCGATATGCGATTCCGGCACGCTCAAAACCTAATCGCTCGCCAGAAATGCACCTATATTGCAGACCTGACTGAGTTGAGTGGTAACACTTTAAGGGTCTCCGCAATCTCGTTCCCAGAGTCTTTGTTCCCCTTGACTAGCGGTCGGAAAACGAGAGCTCTGGAAGCAACCATTTCAGACATGCGTCATAGATGCAGACTGCGCAGTGAAACCGGATGGGCAGAATTCGGTTATTTCCTTTGTTATTTCAAAATGGCTGCTCCCAGAGCTCTCGTTTTCCGACCGCTGGTCAACGGGAACGAAGACTCTGGGAACGAGATTGGAGGGAGGGCATTCTCGTCCCTAGATGCCGCGCTCCTTTTGGTCAGCACCAAGAATCACGACTTCTTGATGCTGACCAAAATTAAAGGAGCGCAGCTTCTGGGGACGAGAATGGAGGGAGGGGAGAGAGGCATAGAGTGTTCTTACAGATCGGACTTCGAAGAAGCGTTGCATGGGTTTTCACTTCGCTCAAGTTAGGTAATTTAGTGTTAAAAAGACAACAGAAAGCCCTCTCGAATCCCGTTGCTTCAAATAGA